TGAACACCTGGAGGGAAGAAACGTCATTCTGGTTGTAAGTCTTTGGAATATAGGCCTGGAATCAACACGGGTCCTGAGTGCTCACACCATGCGGGATGCCCTCTGTCTGTCCGTCTGTCTCCTCTCCCCCTTTCCTCCTTCTCTCCCCCACCTTTGGGTCCCCACCCCTCGTCCCAGTGCTGTTCCATTCAGTCCCCCCTACATGGGCTTGGCCTCCGGGCGGCGTCTCCTGCCTGGGGCACTGATTGGAGCAGCGCTCAGAAGCCGCTCGCTGCTCACAGAGAAGGAAGTGCTCGCACGTGCTCCCTGCCACCGAGGCAACCTCTGCCTTAGCCTTCAAAACATTAATATCTTTTGCCCTAGTATCTGTTCTCTGGTCAGATTTTTTCCTGTAGTGACATCTAGTGACCGCAGGGGAAAAGCCTCATGATTTATGCCTGGCCTTGGTGACAGCTGGGTAGGGGAGTGCGGGTGACCCTCCTGCCACCGCCACCCCTGCCCCCGCCAGGCATGGGCTCCTCCAGCCCCCCGCCCCCGGGAGCCTGTGCCCTGCTACCTGAGGTGCGCGCCTGAGACACTTCAGCGTGTGTTCAGTAACTGCTTCCGGCCGTGGCTTCTCAGTACAAGAGCTTTAAAGTTGCTCCCGCACTGTTTCGCTGCTGTGCGGCCAGCTTTGCGTTGCCCATGCAGATATTTTTGTTCTGTGACTCCTTCCAGATCCTTTTCTGACATTCAGCAGGAATCTGAACTTCCTCTTTCAGGTGTCAATCACCGCCTCTAGAGGGATGCAGACGGCCCTGACCACCAAGCTAAGGACGCTGGACAAATGGTCCCGTGATGCTCAACTGACGACGATGGTGACGCGACACTTTGCTAGTTAGACCCCTCCAGTGACCTTGAGCGGGACACACGGGGACACAAGGTGGATAGAACCTTCCCCGCGGGCCGGGCGCCTCCCATCCCAGGAAGAGCAACCCAGTCATCTCCTGTGGGGACCCACGAGGCACCGACGGCCAGCTCAGGATGAAGTCAGGATCTGGAAGATTCTTCTGTTTCTGGAGAGATTGTTTCCCTGGGTCAGCCTGTTTCCACTCTGGTCCACTATGTGGGAGAGTCCACCAATGGCCACAGTCCTTCACCCCTCCTGGTGTCCTCACCCTTGGCAAGATGGCTCTGTGGCTAATCCCATCAGGAAGTGGAGCTGCCAGCTTCCTTCTGAGTTGAGAACTGTGCTGAGCACTGGGTAATCAAGACTAAACAGTGCAGACATGAGAAGAGTTGGGGAGAGATCATTCCAGGCACAGGGATGTCAATGAGAAGGGTGAGGTGGGAAAGGGCTCAGCAAAAAGTGCTGGGTGAAGGCAGGGATGCAACTGAAAGGAACTGACAGACTTCAGGTGGGGCAGGGGTGTGACCCAACCTACGTGTGTAAAAGTAATCTCTGGGTACTTGTATGGAGGGGACCAGAGAGGAGAGACAGGAGCGGAAGCCGGAGGTCATTGCCGTGGTCCAGGTGAGCGAGGTGGTGCTTGGACTAGTCAGCAGAGTGGGGAGAACAGAAAAGACTGCCGACCGTTGTGGAGTGGGACCTGTGGGGGCATGGCTGGAGGCAGCCCCCGGCAGGGACACAGCTCTGAGTGGTTTGTTGGGTGAAGGGGAGGTTCTAGAAATACAGAGATGAAAGGGGTTGAGACAGGAAGTAGGGGACAGGGCACAAACATCAAAAGATGACAGAACAGTTGAGAATATGACATAAACCGGTTAGAGCCAACTAAAACCAAGATGGCAGAAGATTCGACTTCCTGTAGAACTTGAGCCTCATTATACCCTCATTGTAATACATCAACTGCTAAATGGCACACCCATAGGTGCCATGACAGTTCTGAGGCCAATCTTAAAGGGCCAAAAGTGGGCGGGGGCCCAATTCCTGCCCCTTCCCCAAAATAGTTACAATAATTCTCCCACTTGTTAGCAAATGAAATTACCCAGCCCTGTAAACTGACCACCCCGACACCTCCCGGCCGCTCTCCCTTCTGAGACTGACCGCATGCTGTCTATGGAGTGTGTCTCTCAGTAAACCTGCTTTCCCTTTACTGCGGCTCGCTCTTGAATTCCTTCCTGCTTGAGACAAGAAGCTACTCTCCGGTAACAGGCTGACTTCCAAGCCTCCAGCTGGAGTGAACCAGTGCCTGGTGATGAAGACAGGGAAGGAGCAGGTGGGAAATAGGAAAAGAGACGAGACGGGTTTGCCCTAAAAAGCTTGAGGGGTCTCTGGAACAAAACAGAAGTGGAAACATCCAAAAGGTACTGTCAGATATTCAGTAAAATATACGCTCTTGGAACTCAGAGGACAGGCATGGACCAGAGATGTAAACCTGGGGGTTATTAACATACAAATGGTTTTGAAAGCCGCGCACAAGTTACCAAATTAACATATTCGTGTGGCTTGAATCGGTACTCTCTCAGATATTCTGAGCCAGGCTGCATCAGTCTGGTCCTAGCAGGAGGCAGACAGCATCCTCAAATTAGGATGATTTGGGGAAGGTTAAATGAATGTGGGAGGCTGAATAATGCTCCGCGAAGATAATCACATCTTAGTCCCCGGAACCTGAAAGGGCTGCCTCTGTGGACAGGACTAAGGATCTCGAGATGGGAGATTACCCTTGGCTGTGCTGAATGCAATCATAAGTGTCCTTATAAGAGAGAGGTGGGGGAAGATTTGACCACAGACAGAAGAGGAGGAGCCTGATCCTGGAGGCGGAGACTGCATTCATGCAGCCGTGACCCCAGGAATGCCCGCAGCCGCCAGAAGCTGGAAGAGGCAAGGGATGGATTCTTCCCTGGAACCTCAGGAGGGTGAGCAGCCTGTCGACACCGTGATTGCTGCCCAACGATGCTGATTTTGGGCCTCTGACCCCTGGAATTGTGAAAGAATAAATTGTTGTTTTAAGCTACTTGGTTTGTGATAGTTTGTCTCTGCAGCAATAGGAAACTGATACAATGGAAGAACAATTTACAAAGGCGTGGGTCCCATGTAGGGAAATAATAAATCTCAGATGGTGCCCTGGGGCTAGTAACTGCATCCCTAAGCTCTGTTGGAGGAGGGGAGGGAACAGCTTCCAGAATTTGGAAGAAGAGGGACATATAAAGAGGTCTGCTCTGGGAGAAGCAGTGACAGTCAGCCTGCGAGGGAGAACCTGCAGGGAGGGCTCTGGGATCAACACCCTATTCTCCCTGCTCAAACATCCTGCTCGGTTCTCCATTGGCTAAACCTCTGAGCCAGAGCGCCAGGTTGATACCTTTGTACAGATGGCGTCCGGGAGCCCAAAGAAGGGGGAGATGGGTGAGGTGGACCAGTGGGGAGGGGAGGCAGGGGGGGCACCCCAGCCGCTGCTGAGCAAAGCAGGAGGGATGGTGGCAATTGTCTGACACATGATAAAGGTCATGATAAGATACCTTTCTGGAAATGTGAAGCATTTACATGGTGGATTTTATTCTGAGATAGCTGGAAAATATCAGTTCAGCTCTTTGTTAGAAAAGTGAGTTATTGTTTCTATGCGATGTAATAGAATTGAGAAGCGGAGATGTGCCCTACTCCTGGTGGGCCCCTGTGACCCCTTCTGTCACACATCACAGCTTTCGCTCACTCACCAGCCTGCAGGCATGTGCTGCTAAAGTTCCCGTCCACACAAAGCTCTCGCGCCCTTCCTTCCACGATAACCCCATCTCCCAGCGCGGTGTCAACCTAGAGACCTCACTACGGACAGGGAACTGGGGGGCAGCACCTGACGTGCCGTGCAGCTTTCTGACACACAGCTGGATCCCACCCCCGCCACCTGCCCTCATTCTCCCCTGGGGGATTGTGATATTTTGATTTATGATAAGAAATAAATATTTGGTCTTTACTGTCTTTTGGTACAGCGAGCCTACAACCCTTGGGATTTCCTAAAGTGATGAGTGACAGAGGTGTTTTTGTTATGCTAATGAGGTGACTTTGGGGCCACCTAAGGGTGGGAGCTTGTTGCCAGGAGAACCAACCATGTGATTAGAGGTTTGGGAATTTCAGTCCCACCCCCCACAGGAGGAGAGAGGCTAGAGGCTGAATCAATTGCCAACAGCGGGTGATTTAGCCCATAGTGCCTGTGCAATGAAGCCTCCACAAAAACCCCAAAGGACAGGTTCAGACAGCCTCCAGGCTGCTGGACACGTGGAGACCTGGGGAGAGCGGTGTGCTCAGGGAGCATGGAAGCCCTGTGTCCCTTCCTCATGTCTCACCCTGCAGAGCTCTTCCACCTGGCTGTCCCTGAGTTACAGCCTGCTGTGATAAACTGGTGACTTAGTAAGTAAAATGTTTCTCTGAGTTCTGAGAGTCCCTCTAGAAAGTTAGTTGAACCCAAGGAGAGGGTCGCTGGAACCTTGAATCTACAGCCGGTCGGTCAGAAGCACAGGTGACAACCTGGACTTACAATTGGCGTTTGATGTAGGGGGTGGGGACTGAGACCTTAGCTTGTGGGATCCGACATCATCTCCAGGCAGTGTCAGAAGTGAGTTGAACTGGATGACACCCAGCTGGTGTCTGAGAATTGCTTGGTGGTGGAGAACCCCGCCCCCACCTCCTAATTAGGTGCAGAAGCGTCAGGTTGACGTACGCTCCAAACCAGTTACCATCCAGGAAATGGAAACGTCTCCACGTGGAACCGCGTAACTTGCTATAGGGAGTCCTTGCTGCTTAAACTGGCCAACATCAGTAAGTAAAAACAGGCGGGAGGAAGGCAAAACACTGCGTGGCTGCAAGGTTCCCCACGAGCCAGATGACGAGCCCCTGTGTGTGTTCACGGGTGCGTGTATGTGTGCGTGCCTGTGTATTTGTGTATTTGTGCCTGTGTACCTGTGTATTGTGCGTGTGTTTTGGTAATCATGGGTGATGTATCTATTTCCTTCCCGTGACTCACTTGGTCCGTGGAGTGCTGCGTTGAAAGGATGCAGAAACAGCGTGCAAGGGAAGGGCGTGCAGGGGACTTGAAGGGGGTGCGGCGGGCGTGGAGAGGGGAGTGCCAGCAAGCCAGCCCCACGTTCCGAAGCAAAAGACAGAGGCAGGTTTGGGGGAATGAAGCGCCTGCGCCCGACCACAGGCAGGTAGGCACAAGGGGCTTTGCTCCACATACAGTGATTGATTTCTACTTGTGTTGTTGATGAATTTACACATTGTATCAATTTGAAGACTGGAGCTGGTTAATTGGATCTAATCCAAAAGCTGGATTTGGACTTCTTATCAGTGGAAAGAGGCCTTATCTTCTTGCTCTCTTTTTGAAAGTTAGAACGGAGAGTTTCTGTACGAAAAGGAAGCCTGCAAATGCACTTGGAAACTTTCCATCAGCTTCCTCTGGCTACAATGTCCCTACCCTGGGCTCGGACCAGCGCATCCCCAGGAGACGGGGAGACGGGTGTTCTTACACAAAGAGCACTGTGAAACACAAACACAGACAGCTCTCTACCAGATACTCCGGAGTCTTGGAAGAAAGGAATATGCACAGATCTGTACGTTAGAATCAAGACCCAACTTAACCTCAGCTGGAGATGCTGAGAACAAGTATTTACCTAGAATCATTCTTTCTAGAACATTTTTGAGGACTCCAAAAATGATCCCCCCAAATCAGAAGTCCACTTGATTTTTTCCACCTGAAGAGCAGAGAATTGAGATTTGGGTGTCAGGCATACGGCTAAAGGACTGTGCAGGAACGGGTAACTCTTGCATAAACGTTTAAGAAAATGTCAGATTCTCAGCTGTTGCGTCCCTTTCAGAGCCAGTCAGTGATGTACTAAGCCATTGGCGGCTTGTACCAGCTCACAGGAGCTAATTACTAAAGTTTCAGGAATTTTGTGAGCCAGTTGGGTTTTTGGGGGGAGGGAGGGGTTAGGTAATTTTGTTTATTTATTTACTTTTTATTAAAGTTTTTCAAAATAGATGTACTGGGGATCGAACCCAGGATCTCATGCATGCTAAGCACGTGCTCTACCACTGAGCTACCCCCTCTCCCTCTGAGCCAGTTAAACATAGCTGTTATTAAAGATCAAAGTAGACAAACTTAGAACAAAATTATATGAAAAAGAGGTCTTAAGTACTCAGTATTCATCACTTCCTGTTCATTTCACTGCTGTCGGTGCTATCGAGGCTACTTACATCGGCTGTGTCGTGGTGGCGGAAATCTTACACAATGGTGGTGGTCACTGTGCATTTCTTCCCAGCTCTGAATTTGGTGATGTCAGGTTGGGAGCTTGAACTGGCCATGGTGGAAACAGTTACACCTTGGGAATCAGTAGGTGCTGGTCAGGGCTTTGCTTTTCCTCCAGGGAGCTGGTTGGCTAACATTTCCCAGCACACCATTGCTCGAACTCCTTACTACTCAGAGGAGAATGGAAACATGGCAGGAGGGTGTGATCCCTGCAGCCCAGGCAGGCGAAGATGCAGAAGAGAAAAAGCATAAACCCACATGCTCCTTCCTCTGGCTGGAGGAAACACTTTGAAACTGAAAACTCGCACGGGGCATCCTCACTTTTTGCACTGAACACGTACCCCAGGCGAGCTCAGCGCCTGCCCCTCCTGGCTTCAGCACAGAAGTCATTACCGGATCCAGAGACTGAGGCTGGATGATGGTGTCCTCGGAGTGGCCATCACAGGTCCTTTCTCCCCAGAATCCCAGGCCCTCCATCTGCAGTGAGCTCTGTCTGGCAGATGCTCCACTGGGCAGTGGGGACCTAGGGCAATGGAGCAGGACCCACAGAGGTGGTGCGTGCACTGCAGCTTGGAGGAGGCAGGTGACCCACCGCCTCCCAGTGCAGGGCTTTCCAACTGAGACCTGGGTCTAGAAACAAGCCTGTGTGCTGAACTGAGGACTGTTTTCAGCTGCTAATGAAGATACATGAGATCAGGAAGAATCGGTGGCAGAAGCAATCTTTCGGAATGAAATAGGATAGAGCTTTGAGACTGGTAGGCATCTGACC